TTTACTCATCAGACTTTTCAGCAAATACTTTCAAAATTATGACACCTGATAGTAAACTACCAAACATGAAATGCATCCTAGATCCTTTTTAGGCATTCGGAATGGTTTCTGATGAAGACAAGCTTGTAGCATTTATTGATAAAAAGATGGAGGCGAGAAATCTTTCAGAACATGAAAAACGAGAAATTAAGAGATATCTGACTGGTCTATTCATGTCATTAAGACTTGACTAACAAATAATAAAAAATCTCAGAAAATTTGCTATCTATAAGTTCTTGGCTTCAGTTATGAAGACTGCTGCAGCTAAACTAATACATAAACATTATTATGAAATGAAAAACAAAATTAATCACAGCAAGCATGGAAAAATGATTGATTACAAAAAACTGAAAATACAATAGACAATTTGCAAGGAGAAATATAATCAATACAAGCATTTAAAATAGAAGGATGAACCTCATATCTTATCGATGATTCAATTCTGCAGATATCAGTTCTCAATTTCTTAAGAACAAAGATCTTTTTTGAATTACATCGCAGATTTCAAGTACATAAAAAAATAATATAAAAATAGGTTTGCTAAAGCAAATCATTACTATTACCACAGTTAATTTTCACAGCTTATCAAATTTAACCTTAAACATCAGAAATTTGAAGCAGTTCGCCATCTTCTAAAAGTCCCGTTTCTCCTGACCTAACCACTTCAGCTGTTCGCATCTCTTCAATGCACTGTACAATGGCACAACGAACCAGTTCACGTTGGCTCGGAGAAAATGTACGAAGAGTTGAAGCTATGCTGCGACCAAAATGCTCATCATCTTCAGCATCTTGTACCGCCTTTTCTCCCTCCGACAATAAGTTTATATTTTCTACTGGTCTACTTGCAGCCTCCTAAAATTCATAAGTTATCAAATTTGGATAAGTGAAAAATATAAGTGAAAAAAGAAATTTAAAAGCAACTAAAATAAAATTTCGGAATTCTATTCTGCATTAAACTTGAAAACAATCTCGTTCATATATTACAATTCTACATAATCTAAATATCTACCGGTAATTATTTCAGAAAACATCATAGTAAATTATCTATATAAATATACCAAATTTGTATCGTCAAGACGGAGGCGAATATTATCCTTAGCGCATAAATGAGCGATATCAGAATCAGAAATACTGCGCTTCAAACGCAATGGTAAATTAAAACTGTTTCCACTTTCCAAAGTTGCCAGATCTCTGGAAGAATTAAATGGAAATGAAGTTATATCAAAAACAGCTTTTTTTTTTTACTTGCAAAAATTATATATGCGCATAGAAATGATGAACTGCAAATACTTATTGGCGAGAGCACTTCCATCATTCCTCGAAATAACTTCCTCAAACGAATTTCCATCCTGAACATAAACTACATCTACATATTCATCGCCTTCAGCATAGCTGAAAATAAGAACAGCTTTATTAATAAATAGTGTATGTGAAACGGAAATTGTGAAACACTGATGAATTCAACAGCTTACTGGACAAAGTTGATTGATGAATAAAAATATATCCGTGATTGAAAGTGCTTATGAAGCAATTAAGCTACAGCTGACTTACGAGCCATCCTCTCGAACGAATACTTCATTTGTGAATGACACATTTTTTTCATTTTGATAATCACCGTACGACACAACTTTAGCTTTCTGAATACACTGTGGTGCAATTGTATATTGTTCTGAAAAAGTACACTATTCATGACCAAAAAAGTCACCTAATTTGTACCATATTTCCTTTCACAATTGATGGATAACCACTTTCCTATAGATGTCAAATTGTAAAAATCTGAATCTATATTCTACATTCATAAATAGATGAATGATTTAAAGTGTTAAAAATGTAATATTCGTAGATTTTTACCCTCAAAATCATCAAAATCTTCTTCATCAAGTTCCTCTACCCATGCACTATCATCATCAATATCGAATCCATCATTGGCTCTTGGTTTGCCAGCTATTGATGTAACACGCTTGGTAACAGGCCTGATAATACCCTCAATAAGATTGTTATGCATCTTCCTTAGGTGACGCAACATTGCTCTAGTCGATCCTAACCTCCGTAACATAACCTGAAATAAAACTTGATGAATGAGCAAACAAACCTCATACTTTACATCAAAATTTCTCCAGAATAAATGAAAAATCACCATTCCACATATCCTGCATTTAGCTTTCGACTCCCCATCTTCCTCAATTTTTTCACAAAACAACCAGACTTTTGATTTTGCTCTGGCTAGAGGATCATCAATAGTTTCTTCTTCGTGTCTACAATCAAATACAAATAATACAAAATAATAACAAAATATTTTCCAATCGATTTTTTTTATCGTTTCAGATGCTTACATAGCAAAGAAAATTTAAATTCAAAAAGGAAGCATTCAAAAGCAGATACAAATAAATCAAAAAACTGTACTAACAAAAATAAAAACAGCACTATCATGTAAAATAATATTACCAGTAACCTCAATGCCTCCTGTCTAATTATCTCTTCCATATCCCTGTCCCAATCCTTCGGCTCATTTACCTTTTTTCGTCTCGTAATTCTTTGTTTTTTTGGCATTCCTAAGCATCTCACTGAATGTGTAACCATAGTAATGTTATTGTTCGATACTGGAGTTGAGCTACAAAAAAATACTAATCATATCTTATAAACGTAACAAAAGAACGCTCGCACATACTTTTTTTCAATAATTTTGTTATCACGATCCCATGAATTTTTAAAACAACATTGGAAAGCCATCGATTGTTCTAACAAACAATAGTAACTAATTACTACCCAGCTTGAGATTTTCTTGAATCAGAACCAGCTGAAGTGAACGTTGGGGAATAACTTTTCCGTTTAAGAACACGAGTTGATCGACGTAAAGGTGGACCAGCAACTACAACAAATCTCAAGAGATTTGATTCAGAAAAATAGACAATATTTTGAAATATGAAAATTACATAAAAGAGTAATTTTGTAAAACATAACTGTTTTTGGAAATATGATTACAAATGAAATATTGCAAACCTTTAGAATGCTCAACTCCTGAATCATATGCACAAAGATCATCGTCACCATCATAATCGTCATCTACCTGAATTCTGTTTCTGGACTCACTAGAACGAGAAACACGAGATGTCACCCCTCGACAACATGTAGGTTTACCAGTCGCCTCTCCCTGAAAACTTCATATAACTGTCCCGCAAAAAAGTTGTTTGCAAATTTTTCTTTGAAATTTCGATAAATCATGTAATAATATGTATACGTTGATTGTTTCCAAGCCAAATGAATTACCAAACAAATAATTTCAAAACTCCTCTTAATCAGAATACCAAAAAATATATTAAAATGTAGACAAACCCTCATCCTGTGAACATTTTGCCAAAGCGTTGTTAGTGGAATTTGCTCTCCAGTTTCTTCCGCGATCCGAGACTTCAGTTCGCGTAAACTTTTGATTGAACCATCTAGTCGTTGATGCAATAAATCAATGACTTCTTTTCTTCCAAGCACATCCATCTGTCGTGGATTCATTTTATTTCCGACCATCGACCCAATTTGGAAATAATTTACAAACCAAACAAGGTGTAAAAAAAGAATTGATTCTGAAATAGAATTGACACTCAAATTTGAAAGCATCAAAACTTATCTAAAAACTGATATGCAATGAAGGAATGAATATACAACATTGAAAATTACGTAAAAATCTAAAAGCACATAACAAACATCCATTTCACTGTTATTAACTCTTAAATCTTTTGCTACGTCCCACAAACTTATACTTGGTATTTCTGAAATAGGAAATACTTTAAAATAATTCGATGAACTTTTTACAATTTTAAGAGCTTTTACGCATTTTACAGCTAAAGCATCAACAAATGTGAATAAATTTACGCAAAAAATTTAAAACAATCTAAATCACATTCAATACGGTAGATAATACCTGTAAATGAACGCAACTGCATGCTTTCCTATCAAGATACAAGGATAAAGTAAGTATTACTAGAAAACTTTAAGCAAAGAAATAGTGTTTTCAAAATAATAAAATAGTAGCGTCAAAGGAACACACACGCACGAAACACTCACGCGAGACGAAAGTTTAACGTACAAAACAACTATTAGCACCAAGTAACGATTAGATCTGGAATTTTATACAAAGTTTCTAACAATGAATAAAATTTATTGGTGGCAATAAGCAATTACGGCCACACAGTTATGCAAAACCATTGTCTCTTTGCTATGAATTTCATTTCAAGTTGAATTCGGTCCGGGAGGTAAAAAGTATGTTTTGCTACTATTTCATTTGCGTGACATTTGTCTTTATGTAATGCAAATATGTTAACGTGTTTTTTTTATACGTGTCAAACTGAACGGATAATAATTTCTTCGATAAAAATTATGTGCAAACTTTTTTTGAATCAGTAAATAAACTCACTTTAACGTACAGAAACACTTTTCTTTAGAATTTCACGTTTTAATCAAAAAAACGCAGTGATATGATAATATTAAGAAATGGAAAGAACTGACAGCAGTGAATTTTGAATTTACATCGAAATAATTGCGTGAACATATAAGAAGCGTACACCCACGTACAAAACACACGCGGTTGCCATATGAATACACTAATATGATGTGTATATGTGTGTGTGTTTTGATTGTGCCATGTGTATGTATCTGTGTGTATGCTATAATGGTGCAAGATATGTTCAATTTGCATGCTCGTGTAAAATGCGTGAGCACAATTGTCGTGTATTAGGCGCGTTTGTGTGTATGTCTTAGTGTGTTGACTTAGATTTTTCTACTTTATTTGGGTACGTCACTCAGTATCCATCTTTTGGTCTGTATAGATACTTTACCTTAACTACCAATATAAATGTTAAAGTTTGAAGGAAATATCACGCTTTAATTTACGAGAATGTTCTTTAGCACTCATTAGGCCTTTTCCTTTACACAAATTTGAATAGTCTAATGCATGAGAATTCCGAAATGTCAATTGTATTATACTGATGCAATGAAATTTGCAAAACTTTATTGAC